TCATCAGTCTTTGGTATGTTGCCCCGGCGTTCTTCAGTCCAAACGGCATCACTTTGTAACAATAAACTCCCTTCGGAGTGATAAATGCCGTCTTTTCCTGATCCGGGGATAAAGAGGGATCTGATGATATCCTGCTCGGGCATCCAGGAAGTCCATTCGTTCATATCCGGCTGTGGCATCTACCAGCTGGTCCACCTTTGGCAGGGGGTAGTCATCCTTGGGACATGCCTTGTTTAGATCTGTAAAATCTACGCAGACACGCCATTTCCCCCCTTTCTTCTTTGCGCATACCGTATTGGACAGCCATTCTGGGAACTGTATCTCTCGAATGGCATCGGCCTTCAGGAGTTTGTCGATTTCCTCGTTGACCGCGTTGGTGTGATGCGGGGCCATGCGTCGTGGCCTCTGTTTGACTGGCTTGTGCGACGGGTCAACATGCAGCCTGTGAGTGATTATCTCGGGGTCTACCCCGTCATTTCCATCTCGTTCCAGGCGAACACGTCTGTATTTCCCCTTAGGAACTCGATCATCTCCTCCTGTTCGGCTGTAGGCATCGAGGTCCCCACTAAGAAATACCTCTCTTCTTCTCCCTCTACCAAGGGCACCTTCCGGAGGTCTTCAACCGACCGCTCAGTTGGGTCTATCCGGGGGTCATCCATTCCTGGACGCCCGGACTGTAATTGCTATTTTTCCATAATCTCTTCCGGTGCTCGCCCCTTCTCCTGGCTGGACGCCCCGGCTCGAACGGCTGAATAAAAACAGTTCTTTGCGGACGCTTGGTCCCCCCGGATCTCCATGATACCCTCTGGCGTGGCGAATTTTAACTTCTGGTGGAAAGTGGAGTGCACCGCTCCCAACGCATGCAGCCATGTTCGCCCCATAATCACGTTGTAGGGAGAGTCCGTATCGATCACAACAAACTCGGTGTCGATGATAAAGGGACCAGTGGCAACTGGCAATGTGATTTTCCCCACGGGCAAGGCGAATGAGCCGTTGAACCCGATGAGGGGTGTCCTGACTTTGGTGAGGTCTTTGGGGCCAAGACCCATCCGTTTCAAAGTTTCGAAGTACATCACCTCCGAGGAGCTTCCTGAGTCTATCAAAATCCTCTTGACATCGAATTTCCCTATCCTCAGGGTCAAGACAAGGGCGTCGTTATGAGGAATCACCACGCCTGTCAAATCCGCGTCGGAGAACGTAATGCCAAGCTCACCCATCCTGGCCCTTTTACTTGATGGCCCCACATCACCCTCGGCTACCTTCCTTGTAAAAGCTACCCTCTTGAGGTCGGACTCAAGCTCCTTGGACGTGGGGCGCTCCAGGGGACATATATGGATGACATCTATGACGTTGTCCGGCTCCTCGGTCGGGGCAAGGGCTCGTCTCTCTTCTGGCCTGGGCTCTATGTATTCTTTCAAATGTCCGTCTCGGACCAAGCTTTCCAAGAACGACTTGAACACCCTGCAGCTTTCGGTGCGATGCCCGACATCCCGGTGATAGGAACACCTAACCCTTTGATCTCGGGTGGAGGGGTCGCCCTGCATCCTGGGCGGCCATTTGAAGAACGGCTCGTGCTTGATTTTATGGAGCAACTTGAAGATGGGTTCCTTGAAAACAGTGTGAACTCCCCTGGACGAACCCCCTGGATGGGGTAGCAATCCCTTTCGGGGAATATCTTCGCGCTCCTTCTCCTTTCTCTTAGATTGGAGGGCTCGGCCTTTGTTGCTTCCCATCTCGTCCTCAACCCTCGAGTACTTGTTGATCCGGGCCATCAGTTCCCCCATATCCGAGGGAGTCTTCTTGGTCAGGGATCGGTACAGGTCCGTGTCCCTCGCCAAGCCGAGCCGGAAAGATGCTGCTGCCATGACCTCCGAGCAGCCTTCTACCTCATTGACCTCTTCCCAGTATCGGATGGCGTACTGGCGAAGAGTCTCGGATTCCCTCCGTCTGAGGGTCAACAATGATCCAATGTCTTTGGGGCGCTTACTCCCCGTAATGAATCGAGCCAGGAACTGCCTAGTCAATTCCTTCCAGGACCCAATACTGTTTGGGTGAAGCGTCTCGAACCATTTCATCGCAGAGTCCCCCAAGCTCATAGGGAACACTCGGCATAGAAACCGTTGGTCCGAATGATAGAGGGACATCATCTGCTTGTATTGCCTGATATGGGCTTCGGGGTCGGACCGCCCGTCATAGGTTTTGAACCGCGGCACGACGAACTTTCTTGAGACCTCCATCTCACTGATTTCCCTCGTATGACTTCGTCCTCGGCCTCATCCTGGACAGTCTTACCCTTTCTCCTGGAGTCTAATCGGGCTCTGAGATCGACTTCTTCCCTGACGGGATGCCTTCTGAAGTCCCTGAGTTCATTGGTAAGCCCCTCATTTCCTGGGCGTCGTGTGGATTGGGTTGAGTCCTCCTCGGATTCATCTCCCTTCCTCCGTCTAGACAAACCTCGCCGGAGGTCGTCCAGGGCCAATGGCCTTGCTTTCCTGGAATGGTTGTCATGATGATGTTCGCCGGCTCTAGGTCGCTTTGGGGCCCTAGAGCTTTCTGCTTTGTGGTCTAGGTGGTTTCTTAGATCCTTCGTTTCCGCCTCCTAGGCGGGGAGTCCACGGGAAAGGAATGAATCCCTCGACCCTCCGCCTGAGGCGGCAAACTCGTCGAGCCGGCTAAGGACGTTTACATTGTCCTTCTCCAGCTGACGTAATCTATCGCCAAATTTTTCTTCAATCACCTCCGCCAGCTGACGAGCCAAGGGGGCTGATCCCCCTGACCTGATTCCCATACTGGTTTGAGGGGTAACCCCTCTTGACCGAGTAGAGGCACTTTTATTCGTATTGGTGTGATCCCTCCCTCCGTGATGACAGGGAGCTTGTAACTCGAGACTCCTTTGGTGGGGTCCTTTCCCTTTCTGTCGAGTGTTCACCATGGTCACTGTTCTTTATAGAGAGAAAACTAGGAAAACTAGTCGTTTCCCACAGACGGCGCCAGATTGTGCGTGCAAGATCCTGCACAATATAAAAAACGAGAACAGATCTCTCCCCTGGTGAACTTCGAGTGAGCCAGTTGAGTGACCAACCACGCTGCCTGGAACAGCCTGCGAGGTCCGGTGGTAACCTTGAACGGCAACGGGAGACCCTGGGAAATGAAGAACGATCCTGTAAGGCTGAAAGAGGATCCTGGAACAAAGAAGAACAAGTTAGAAGGGCGCCGGAGTGTTTTTCGGCGTATCCCCTCCGACGATCTAGTCAGTCTTTGAGAGAGAGAGAGAGAGATAGAGAAAACACTGAGTGTGTATTGTAGTAGAGAGTTTGTTGTTGCATACCCGTTTTGCCTTTTGCAAGGAGTATTTATACCTTAAAAGCTCATGATTGCTGTCAGTGTCGTCAGTAGGTGATCATTAGGCACAGGTAGCGTGTGCATTGATTCTGATGAGGAATGTCTTCTCTAATTAACTGTTCGGGGTCCCGAGCAATCAATGCTGGATCATCGGGATGCCGACGGTACAATGTGCTCCTCTCGGGGAGGATGCAATAAATGCTCTGTAACAGGAGCATTTATTGTCTTTCATTTCCGAGCCTTACCGCATTGAATGCGGTCTCATCAAGGGAATGGTGCAATTAATTGTTTGCTTTCCCAAGTCGCGTGTCAACAACGGCATGCGGTTTGTCTGTCTTTGATGTGATATCATATGCCACGCGTCCATCCCCTATTGGCTGTGACCTCTGTATTCCAGTACGTTCTGACATTACTTGTGTAAGACGAGGTCATGATGAATAGCCTAGGCTAATAACCTGTACGTCAATAGCTTATCCTGGAGTAGAGGAAGCGTCCAGGATGGGGGTACCTCTCGGCACCGAGGAAAGGCTCATCTCAGGGACCGAGGGAGGTATGCCGACCGAGGTACATATCAGACCGAGGCCACGTGTCGGTTGTAAAATATACTGAATGTATGATCCTATATGCCAGTACCTCGGGGGCGAGGACATTCGTGCGCCGATGGTGCTTGATCTTAACAAGTGTTTTAGTAAAACCGAGGACACGTGTCTTCATCATAGGGTATTTCAGAAAAGTCCCATCAGCATCAGTTCTACCAGGTTTGCTACTTAATTACTAAAAAATTGTCTTAGTATATTGAGAGTCATTATAAATTGTAAGTGTCGTCAATACTTGAGGGCATCGAGCATATCTGCAATCACTCTTATCTCTCTCTCATCGTTTGTATTTTCCTGCTTTTCCAACACTTTTCAAAATAATAAAATACCCAGGTCACCCTAGTCTTTCACAGTAGACGTAGGTCATGTTGATCGAACTATTCTACATCTTTGTTTTGCTTGAGTTACTCTCTCTCTTTATTTAACTACTATATTAATTATTAATCATTTGACAAGTAGTGCATAATACCAATTTGTTCATCATCAACCGATACTGTAATCTTGAAAATCATACTCTCAATAACTCTTGTGAAACAAATCCAAGCTATACACTTACCAGTATAAAACTCCGCTCGGTTTTAACGAGCTGAATTTAAATAATTTTTTAGGCTTATTTAAAAAATAAATCTAAAAGATTTGGCTCAAGCATACAAACTCGGCTTGTTTATATGTAAAATAATTGAACTATTCGGGTTGAACTCGAGTCCTAAATGAACTGAGCTTAAATAATTTTTTAAGTTTGTTTAGAAAAACAACTCGTTAGAGAGGTCTTTTTAAGCAGATTTGAACTAAACTCACAAAGTTCGACTCAATTAACGCTTCTATTTATCAATAAAAGACAAAAAAAAAGACTTATTTAGTTAACCTTAAAAAAGGAAATAATGTCCTAATCCACTCAAAGATTATCGGTATTTATAACAAATGGCCCCATTATTATCCAATCCACCTACTTAGAGCGGCCCTTCTTAATTACAGCAATAATGGAAAATGCAACACAACCCATACTATCAACTTGTTCAATAATTAGGCCTCCCTCCCCGTCCTTTACTATAAATACTGACGATGCTAGCAGTTTCATTCACATAACCTTTACTACTTCAGTCTTCATAGTGTGAAAGGAAAGAGAAACCAAATATGGCCGCCACCACCACCAACAAAAAGATGATCACTGCCTTGCTGTTTATGTTCATGGTGGTGATAGCGTCGGCTGTGCCCGATCGGGCCGGACAAGTTACGAACCTGCAAGAAGCCTGCATAACCAGATGCATGGACAACTTATGCCCCGACAAGCCGAGGAGCTATGCTATTTGTGCTTTGGAATGCGATGGATACTGTGCAGGTGCCTGCTTTGGAGGTCCTGAATTCTGCTATTTCAAACCTGGGATTCTGATGAAGCTCTAAATCATGCTACTTGTTCCACAAGGCAGCCTTCCATTCATCAATCACTTCATAAACTATGCATAAGAGGGAGGCAAATATGTATGTGTTGTGTATTTGTGTGAAATAATAACCTCTTGGGCTTATAAATAAAAGCTTTGGGCTTATAAATAGAAGCTTGGGAGATACCAACGAATAATTGTCGGTGTGTATTGTACATTCTGCATCGTTGTTCTTGTTATAATAAAATGTCTATAATGAAAAGCTTATGTTGTTTTTAATTTTGAATTTTCTAATCATATGATCTCTATCATTGTTATACCAAAATGCCTATAATTAAAAGGTTATGCATGCATGTGTTAATATGAAATTCGAATTTGACTTTAAAATCTCAAACCGATGTCATTATCCAACGAATCGTTTTTGTGTAGTCCATATCCAAATTTTGGTCCATACATCTAATATGAACCGATCTCTTTCTCTCTCTCTCTCTATCAGACATATCTAACACACTTACCTAAAAAGGAAATAGTTTCCATGTATTGATTATAGATGCACCGGCGGGTCTATTAAGGGGCCAGGGGCAGGGGACCATCCTCCATTTTTTTAATTTTTGTTATATAGATATAGATATATATTTATGAAACATTACTTGTATTGTGCATGGCTGCCATGATCACAACCACTAGTATCAAGAGATGAAGATCACTACCTTGATGTTTATGTTAATGCTGCTGGTGGTTTCCGCCGGTCGGAGAAGTAGCTAAATTGGAAGAAGTTACTAACGTTACAGAATACCCATATATTATTTTTTAAATACCTTATGGCTATGTGTGAATTCTAGATTTATTATAGTATGTTAGAGCACGTACGTTGCCTATAAAACAAAGTCTCCGCTCAAGGGCAGAGCCAGGAGTTCTTCACGGTGGAAGCAACCATATATTATGTTGATAGCCACAAAAACCAGCAAAAAAAAAAAAAAAAGGAGAAACGCTTGAGTGGGTGGGTTTAACACACCTCGTGATATTATTATATGGTGTGCATACATAACGAGAAATTATATTTTTCTCATAAATTGTTCGATGTATGTTGAAGATGGACCCGCTTGGAGAAAGTGAGTCAAACAACTTTGATTTTTGGTTAGTGATCTAGCGTTGATGACTTTTTTAAAAATAAAAAAGTATATTAGAGTATATTTAGATACCTTGCTATTAATTTTTCAGACATTAACATAAGTGATTGTCCAAATCACAATTACATACAAATCACATTTTCCAAATCTTACTCTCAATGGGTCTTGTGAAACAAATCTAACATGTAGACTTACCAATATGAGTGTTAATTGAGACGAACTATTCGAGCTTGGTTTAGATAAAATGCGGCTTGAGTTTGACTCGTGTTTTAAACGAGTTGAGTTTGAATAATTTTTTAGAATTATTTAGTAAAACGAGCTTAAAAAGTTTGATTCAAGCTCGCAAAGTTCGACTCATTTATATATAAAATAATCGAACTATTCAATTCGGCTCGAGTTCCAAACGAGACCAGCTTACACAATTTTTTAATAACTGGCCAGTTTATTTAACCTAAAAAAGGAAATAATGACCTAACCCACCCAAAGAGAATCGGTACTTAGAGGGCCCCTTCTTAATTACACAAATAATTACAAAAAATGCAATAAATATGCACAACCCATAATTTCAACGTGCTTAGTAATTAGGCCTCCCCTCCCTTCTTTTACTATAAGAGCAATGTTATTGGGACGTAATTTATTGTGACCTTTAGATTTATTGTAGACCCCATCAAACATTGAAACTTGATGTTAATCTAATAATTTTTATGAAATCACATCATTATGTCAATAAATTAGTTTAAATTTTTAAATTCAAATAACATTACGCTTACTATAAATACAGACGATGCTAAAAGTTTCATTCACACCACCATTACTACTTCAGTCTCTAATGTATGTAAAATTAACTGTTAACAATGTGTATTAGATTGTACCAATTGACATTTTGTGAGTATTTATTAGAGGATAAAAATGAAATCAATAAAATTGCATCATCACCACTGCTAGCAGCACCAAGAATAAGAGTAGTAGTAATAATAATAATAATATTTTCTTTGAAAAAAAATTATTTAAAATATAAATGAGTTAGCTCGTTTCAGAAGGTATACCCAATCAGTACTATATACATAATGGAAGCATTTCCACATGCATGATTGCATAGGAATTTATTATAGGCATCTTGTCAGAGCAACAACTCGATTACATAATGCCTTTATCTGATTGAATTAAAGACTCGGAATTATTTCCTTCTTCCACCCACAGAGGACCACATTTACCAGTACAATAGTTGTGGCAATCGTTAAGGCATTGACCTCTACCTTGTTCAGATAATAACCCTGACCAACTTACCTCGCATTACAAAAAAGAGCAAGCAAAAGGAGGATCTTCCGTTCAATTGTCTAGAAGATCATTCATCCATTTGATTCACTTTGCAAATGTTTCTTTTTTGGTTTTTGAAATTTGATGGAACATTTCTAGGAGAAGACAGATCGGCGACACGTATCCTCCGCATCGTTATGATTCCAACTAGACATGACCACGTGTCTTCGGCGACACTCATCCCCATTTGCCGAGGAGATAGTGCTCGGAGCCGAGGGATCCCCCTAATCGGCGTGATTAACACATATGTCCTCGGCTCGGTAAAATTCTTGACCCATGAGGTAGACAAATGTTCCTCGGTACCGAGATGTTCCTTCTGTAGTCTGAATCCAACCTCTCCTCTGCTTCTATGAAAGATAATGATTGACTGATGGCTAGCCTAGGGCAAGTTAGGCTAATCATCATGAAGACACTATGCTCAATGGTCTTAGGAGGAGCAGGGATGCAGAACACGCAACCAAGGAGGAGTGGATGCGTGAAATTTAATATCAAATCAGTAGCAATAAGACCTAGGTACCCCTGCTGACACATGACTAGAGCAAGTATGCATTTAATGAATCATCCTCCTTATGAGACAGCAATTAAGGCATGGGGGTTGAGAAGTGAAGTGCATTAAAGACACCCATACCTAGGCATTTAATACATCCTCGCGCGAGGAAGGGGAATTGAATGCTCGACAGACCTAGGAGTGAGCTTTAAATGCTCGGCATCCTGATCAGTTAAAGGAAAGCCCATTCTCCATAAAAGTGAGAAGCACACTGCCCCATGTCTGACAAATATCTGTTGAATGGACTATTAGCAATCATGAGCTTTTGAAGGTATAAATAGTTCTAAAAAATCATTGAAAAGGTACGCAAGAACTTCTAAAAAATAACTACAGAGTGCTTTCTTCTCCTTTCTCAAAGAATTGACTTGATCGTCGGAGGGAATACGCCGAAAAACACTTCGGCACCCTTCTAACCTGTTTTTATGTGTCATAGGATCCCCCTATAGTCTTCTAGGACCGGTCAAACGACCCAACAAACAATTCATCACCAGTCCTTAGGGCTCCTTTGTCCCTCTCAACCTACTTCTTGTTTTCAAAACTCACTTTCGGATCGGTCAAATCTCTACCAAAGGCGATCGAAAATCCTGAAAGCAAACCCTCCGTTCCGTCGGAATTATTATCTTCTCAAACCACAATTCATCGTGGGAAAGATTTGTTCCTACTTCTACTGTTGTGCAAAAATTAGCACGCATAATCTGGCGCCATCTGTGGGAAACGATTAGTTTTCTCAAAGAACAATGACCATGGTGAATACTCGACAGAAAGGAAGGGGTCCCCAGTAGAAGAATCTCGATTTGTAAGCTCTTTCTAGTTCCGGAACGAAGGATCAAGTTGATGGTGTAGACAGTAATATTTCTATTCAATCGATGGGGCATACCCGCCAAACTAGTATGGGCATCAGATCAGGAGGATCCGCCCCATTGGCCTGTCAACTAGCGAAAATGATCAAGGAGAAGTTTGGGGGTCGATTACGGCAATTAGAAGAGGACAACGTGAACGTCCTCAGCTGTCTCAATGAATTTGCGACTTTCGGCGAAGGATCCAGGGACTCGTTCCGTTCCCGGGAACCCTCCATCAAGGAAATGGAAACTGAAGACTTGCGGAATCACCTGAACAATAAAGCAGAAAGTTCCAAGGCTCCAAAGCGTCCGGGAGCCAAAATGTATCCCCCAGGTGTCCAGGTTAAAAAGGCAAGGCCTTTAGCTTTGGACGATCTTCGTCAGGGGCTGTCCGGGCGAGGGGGCATGGAGGAGTTCGAGAGATCAACCCTCTCCACTCGACACCCAGGAAGTAGGTACCCCGTTAGCCCGCACAGGGACCTCAGAGCTCGGTTGGAGGCCAAGAGGAGTAAGGCCATTCAGGAGGAGGACACCGATGACGAAACCATACAATCCCCTTTCACTAGAGACATTTGGGAGATGGAGGTGCCAAAGAAGTTTGTAGTGCCAAGGTTAAAAACTTATAACGGATGATCTGATCCCAAAGCTCACCTCAAACAATATAAGTAGATGATGTCCCTTTACCATTCAGATCATCGGTCTTGTGCCGGGTGTTCTCCATGAGTTTGGAAGACATCACTATGAAATGGTTCGAAACTCTCCCTCCCATCTGCATCGGATCATGGAATGAGTTAATCAGGCAGTTCTCCGCTCGATTTATTATAGGAAGTAAGCGACCTAAGGATGTTGGGTCCTTACTAACGCTCAAGCGAAATGAAGGGGAAATTCTCCGCCAATATGCCATTCGTTACTGGGAAGAGATCAATGAGGTGGAAAGATACTCAAAAGTCATGGCAGCCGCCTCTTTCAAGCTTGGTCTAGCAAGAGATACAGATTTGAACCAGTCATTAACCAAGAAGACCCCATCAGACATGGGTGAATTGATGGTCTGAATAAATAAGTATTCTCGGATCGAGGATGAAAAGGGAAGGGACAAAGGTAGGACCCTCACCCCAAGCAGAAAGACAGGGAGAAGGAGGATACCTCTCGAAAGGGATTGATACCCCTTTTCGTAAGCTCTTTTAAAGGA